AGTGCGTGGAACAGCACATACGAAACGTGCCAACACTCTTCCTACCCAACAGCCTGAACGAATCGAACGACCTCGCGCTGTTGCAGAGGGGCGTCGATAATCTCATCATTTGCCAGATTCAGCCGCGCATAGACGAGTTTTCAAAGTATATAGCCCTGTACATGGCAAAGACTCCGAAGGACATACCGTTTTTGAGAAAAACGGCCTTCAATATGCTTTCGGCGATCGTCTTCGGCTACATTAACCAGGCTAGCAACGCGATCCAGAGAACGCGACGGACGGAACAGATCATGTGGTGGAGTGATCAGACGACGCTCCTGTCCAACATGATCACCTTCCTCAAGGAACAGCTCCGCGAGTATGAGCGAGTTACCACAATGGAAGACGAAGCGCCCGACGAAACGTGTGACGAGAAAAAGGGACGACGGGATAGGGTAGAAAAGACTGCATCTTTAATGTGCTGAGTAAAAATTGTAACCTAAACCGTACTATATCTTTCGGCGTATTTTTTCGGATCGCGGACGATCAGAGTGCCGCAGTAGGCGGTGACGCCTATAAACAGTGCGCTCACGACTCCCACGCCCGTGTACCAACCAAAGTCGGTCAGATCGGGCGACTCATCGTCGTCACTTTCGGGTTTGCCGTTCGAGTCGTTATCGGTTATGTCTGCTTCACTCTCGGCTTTCTGCACATCTCTCTGCGGATCGGTATCGTGTATGCTATCGTCGCAAATGTGCGTGACGATGAATGTCTCGACGCTCATGCCGAGTTGATTGGTGGCCGCGGAACCGCCGCAGCCGCTGTGTACGTAGTTGTCCTCGGTCACCGTATAAGCTTTGCCGTCGTACATGAACATGTAGACGGAGGCGCGATCGTTGCACTTGGAGCCGTCGAGCGACGATTCCCACATGGTACGGTTGAAGGGCTCGTCGGGTAAGGGGTAGTTGTGGATGGTCTTGGCGTCTTGAAAGTAGAACGCGTAAGCGTAATTTTCGTAGGGATTCAAACTATCGATGTACTGAGACAGGTTGGTTTCTTGTCCGTCGACCATTATGGCCTTGCTGTGAACAAAATTTTTAAAGGATACCCCTACTCGATAATAGTTTTCGTCCGCCGAAAACACGAGACGCCCGTGAGACGGGTCGGTGATGGCCATCTTGAGACGCCACATGTCGTTAGTCAGGTCCGTGACCCCCCAACATGTACCGTCCTCTGCGGCGAAAATGAAACGCTTCGTGTCCCAGTTGTACGAGGGAATAATCAGGCTGTCGTTGAAGAAATTTAAGATGACTGGTCTGCCGCGAACGCCCGCCAGTTCCCTCTGCAACATGGCCTCGCTCATGAGCGTGTGCGTTCTATGTAGACCGGTAACCTGAGAGTGCGCGATCGCAGAGACGTCTTGAATTCTAAGAGTCCGGAGAATGTCCACAAAATACTTGTAGTCGCGATTGAAGCTATATCCGCTTTGAGCTACCGTCTGTTTGGCCTCTGAGAGCGCTTCCTGAATGTCCGTGTAGATGTTGCCCGAGTGACATTGGTGTCCGAGCCAACCGCCGTACATTATTGCAGAGTCGTTGTATCTGCTCGAGCGATCTCTCATCACGGATACCTCGTTCGATGTAAAGAAGCGATTGTATGATTCGTACCACTGTGAATAGGGCAAACTGCCCCCGTATCCCGGCGTGGAAGGGTACATGAAATACGACGCATCCTTCAAATGCTGAAAACCCACGGCGTGGGCCAACTCGTGTAACACCATGTGTAATATGGTGTCCGCCGAGGCATTTACGACCTTTAGCGTGTTTATGTGGATCAGCTTGTCGTACACGGCGTGTGCCAGAGCGTCTCGGCTCCCGTACAGAATGCTACTAAAGTCGTATAGGCACTTTCGCAGACCGGGTCGCCCGTCTAGGTAATTATCCTTGGTCGAGAGGTGGGGTTCGGTGTAGAAGCCGTTTTCGGTCGAGGAAAGGTACTCTCCCAGTTGAAAGGATATCGGAAAGGGCCTTTTGATGTGTAGCTGGTTCCGCCTGTCGGGCAGAGCGTCGAGAGACGAATCGTATTCCATGACTCGAAGATTGGAGCCGCAAAAGATGTGGCCATTCAAGAGTTCGGCGGCGAGTTTCACCACGGCAGCCAGTTCGCGGTTGGTGAGCGTGCTGATGGCTTCGTCGTTCTTGATCACGTATGTGTATATCAACTGCGGGCTCCCGTAGTATGGGTCGTTTACGGAATTGCGTATGTCGGCGCTCAAGTCGTAGCGCGCCAACACTATGGAACTACATAAAGTTACGAGGACGAGAATACGCATCGTTATTATTTTATTTAACAATTACCCCTTGTACTGTTTATAGCATAGAGCACCTCCGCCGCCGAGGCCGAGGAGTCCTACGATTCCGATGAGAGCGGGTAGCCACTCGGCGTATTCGTTGCTCACCGAGAGGCACTGGCGCTTCTCGCCCGATGCGTCATCCACCATTTTTTTTGGCTTTTGACAGTACACTAGGGGCGGTCCGCCGTACAGAGTGTCGTTCTTGTCGCACGTGTACAGTACGGCGTAACTCGTCTTGTTCACTTTGAGTATCTTTGAACGAACGTTGGCGATCTTGAGCAGACTCTGGCAGTAGGGCAATTTTTTATTGGCGTTTGATTTGGAGGCCACCAACGACGGCGCCACGAGTAGCGCAATCATTAAACCGATACGTACGGTCGTCATTTTTGTATTCAATAACAAAATAATCATGAGCACAGTCCCCGTGGCGCTTCTTTCGACGGTAGCCAGCTTCCTGTTGGGATGTTACCTATTTAGGTCGTGCGTTTCGCGAGATGTCTTGCAAAGGAGGAGCGCCTTGCTGGCGGACAAAACCAAACCGTACAGTAAATTGCCGTCGGGCTACGACGCCGTCGCTGGCGCGGATCGCTACCCTTACCACGAACAGGTGGCCATCAAGCACATGGCCGATACGTATGGTCGGCGAGCGAGCGTAACGCCCGAGAGACACGATCTTTGGTTCCATTGGTAAATAAAAATGTCCGCTTCGACGAACGATCGGTACGACCGCCGTCAAGACCCGAGCAGAAGCGTTCCGAGGTCTAGCAAGAGCGACGAAAAGCAAAACTCGCTCATGAAAGCCTTCGAGGCCGCAAAGAACAAGAAATCCAAGAAGGGAAGAGACGAAGTGTCTGCGAGCAAGATGGAAAAGGAACGCTACTACGCCCGCATGAAGTTGCTCTTTTGGATCTTTTGCATCCTGGGTTATACCGGTTGGGTCGCCGGAGTAATGCACGGCCTCACCGACGGCAACTACATGTTTCGAGGCGTACTCGGTACCATACTTTGTATCGGAGGTCTTTTCTTTATGTTGATTGCACCGATATCCTCGGCGGTCATGAAACCAGAGTGTTCAATCCGTCAGTCGGGCCTATTGCAAGCCTCGTCGTGCCTGATAGTCATCATGCTCAGCGTTTTTGGGGTTGCCGTTTATCACATGTACATGCAATCTCTCGTGGCTAAATAAATTTACACTCTTTGAAATTTCTCGTCTTTGTCTTTATTATCGATCAACGTTTGCGGTATCCGTAAATTACCATCGCTCCGAGTGCGCTGCCGGACAGCATGCTAGCAATGAGCCAGGACACGCCGTCGCGGCCATTGTTGTCAGATTCCGGCGGGGGAGGACTGGATTTGTCGCCGACGGGATTCCCGTTGTCGTCCACCTCCACGGATTTGGCAGGCGTCGGCTCGGCGCTGTTGGGATCGATGAGCATCTCGTATGGGATCGAACCGAAGGTGTTTTCAAATACGTGGGGCATGGCGTATTCGGCGTCCATCGGAGACACGAGCCACGTCTTGTCCCTGACGCGTTGCATCTTGCGACCGTACGTATCGTACCAGGTAACGAGACGAGTCTTCTGATCGATGAACGGAGCTCTGGTCTTGTGGCTCCATTCGGTGGCAGTCACCTCCCCTTCAATTTTTGGAGGCACGGCCTTGATGTTGGTCTTTGTCTGAAGGATCCGGTACGTCTTTAGCATAAACACCTCCCAGTTGTCCACAAAGTCTCCGACGACAAAGTCCGGGTCCGTCATCTCGCCGACACTGGTAATGTATCTGTTGCCCACGCAGTACACGCCGTACATCTTGCAGAAAAATTCCACCAGATTCATTTTGTCGTTCGTGTTGAGGTGCGGAAAGTCGTAGGGGACGTGGCAGGAGAAGCCGTCGATGTTGATGTCGGTTCCGCTCGAATTGTTGCATATGGCCAGAATAAAGGACATGATGGTGTTTGTGGCGCCTCGTTTGGTCACCGTATCGGTGCACTCTTTCAGATACGCCATGCGGAGTTTGGTGCAGATGCTTTGCAGCCTGGGCGTGTCCGCTATGGCCTCTACGTTCACGTTGGGGTTCCAGAGCAGCGCTCGAAACGTCTCGTTCTTGAAGAGCACAATGTGCCCGTTTTCGTTAAACTCCAAGTCTCTCTCTCGCCACACGTCGTTGACGTGAATCTGCGGGTACATGCTGCTGTTAATGTCCTCCTCATATTCACTCACTATCGTAGTTGCGATCGAAACGGACGAATAACGGTTCGAATGCGGCATTTTTTATTATACTAGTTTCGATAAATTTGCAGCCCCTTAATGGCGAACACCTCCCACTCGGTGACGTATCGCGCCGTCACCACCGACGTCGCCGATGTCTCGACGGACATGACCTCGTTGTCCTTTGCGTGAGTGAGGTACATGTCCAGTTCGCACTGTACGATTCGGCGCCGATCGAATGCAGACAACTCGTGATAGGCGTCGGGCAGGATGAAAGTGTAATTTATAAACACCTTCTCGTCCCTGGTCTTCCCATTTGCGAGCAAGTCCTCCAGATAGGCGAGACAGAGCTCGTAGAGCGATTGCAGTGACCGGAACGTGCCGTATTTGTTTCTAAAGGCCTCGACCAGCTGCGTCGGCACACCACCCGCCCTGGCCGCCGATTCCACCGACGTGCTGGCGTCCCAGAGGGCGTAGCGAAACAACTTGTTTGTTGGAAGATTCATTCTCCGTCGGGATGAGTGCCACAAACGAGAACGACGATCTGGATCACATTATAGCTCCATTCCTGAGCGACAACTATATCCGGGAATTGTTTTTGCTCTATCCGACGGGTTCCGGCAAGACGAGGAAAGGTGCTCTCGTGATGAGATATCTTCTCGATAGCGGTTTTATAACAAAGGTCGTCGTGGTGGTGCCCCGGTCCGCGCTCCTGGCCGACACCGAGCGCGAATACCAACGAGTTTTTGGGACCGACATCTACAAGGCTCCTTCGCGAAAGACACTTTACAGGCGGCTTGCACATCCACACTACGGTCTAAGCAAGAAACCACCGTCTTTATCGACGACGATGGAAGATCGTTACGCGGTGGACGCTTGCGGATGCCGTTCCGGTAGCGGCGTGGTACAGATTTTCACCCGGAAAGACTTTGTTCGCTGGGTTCGCAAGTCGCAACACGACAAGTCGGACGAGGTGGTGGGCTACTTTATAGACGAGTTTCACACTTTCATTTCGAGATCGAATCTCAAGAGCGACGCATGTTTGGGCGGCAGCGACGCGACCACCGGACCTCTCGTAGCGGGGGACGAGCGCAAGAGGAGCTACAAGGTGCACGCTCGAAACACCGTCCATAAGCTGGCGCACGAGACTCGCGACCGGATATTTGTGTGCAGCACGGCCACCCCGTTTTTTACAAAATTCGAAGGCGAGCTGCTCCAGTGGGTCACCACCTTCGACCAGGGCATAAAGACGGTCGAGGACGCCGAGAGATACTTTAGCATTCGGATGGTCGTTCCGAAGCAAGACTTTCTCAAAAAGATTTACAAGACGTCTCTGCACGTGGTCAGGGACGACGGGAGTTACACCGTGCCCAACGTGGTGGACGTGCGCTACCCTCTGAGCGAAGACGACTTCCCCGCAATCGGCTGCGACTGCAAACGGGAGACCTGCGACGACATTCACTGCGTCGTCAAGCGAGTCTTTGACGAGATTGTGAAGCGTCCCAAGGACAAGCACTTTGTCGTTTCGTACCGCTACGACATTAGAGAAAACATTTTGACCATCATGAACAACGGCAAGCACGAGAGTAAGACGACGGCCCGAAAGTTTGTCTGGAAAAACATGACCATCATATTCGTCGTGCCAGGGGACCCCGCCTGGTACCTGACGAAGCTACGCGACATGTACAACAACTTCACCTCCTCGGTGATCATGGTGACCAATTTCTTTTTCTGCGAAGGCCACACGCTCAAGAACGTCAAGCACATGCACATCATCGGTGGATTCCCCACCTACGAGTGTGCGACCATGTTTCAGGCGCTGGGCCGCGTCTCGAGACTCGGCTCGCACAGCAACGTGGACTCGGCCGTGGTCAAGGTGTACATGTACAACGGTCAGCACTATGCCACGAGACGCGGCAAGGCCGTCGACAGGGAGAACGTGATTCGAAGAGCCATGGTCAGAATGATTCGAGACACCCCCCTTTCTCCGGTCACCGCAAACGGTAGACTCTCGAACCTGCTGGCGCTGTACGCGACCAACAACGACGACAACCGCAAGAGCGAGCCTTCTGCAGACGAGAGCGAGATCGACAAACTCTTGGCCGCCACATCGCGCTTTGCGTCGTCAAAGTACTCGTACAACATTACCGGAATCGGCATGTGCCTCATTGACGACTCCATCAACAGGTACAAGATTGTCCAGAAGCAAGCCATGCGGCAATATTTATTCGACAAGCGAGTAAAGACGACCAAGAACATACGAATCGTCAAGGACTTTATGCGATCCACCTCCTTCGCTCCGGGCGAGATTTTTCTATCGGTGCCGGACCTGACCTTGACGGGCGACGCGCTCGTCGATAACATCAGACGTCACGTTGTAAACAGGTACGTCATCTCGAACAAGATTGATAACTTGCCGCATTACGCAACGTCCTACAAGAAACTCATAAAAGGCGCAAAGCTGGCAAACATGACCATAACCGCTCTGCGGAAGGTGCTACAGCAGGCCAGACTCGGGTCCGACTTTACCCACCGAAACGAGGCCATCCTGGCGTTGTACGAGTGGGGGTGCGCAAATGACAGGATCATTGTCCTGACCCAGTTATAACGCGATGACGGATCGACAACTGGACCTCTTACGATCGACGGAGGCTTCGCAATGGGCACAATTCAATTCAAAGGCTTTCACGACGACGGACGGCATCCAGATACCCACGAGCGTGTCCCTCTTCAACGTCCGAGTGCCCGCGTGCACCGCGTTCCTCGCGGACGCGCTGGTCGAGAACAAGTGTGCCAAACGCGTCGAGGGGAGTCTTCACGTCTACTACTTCGGCGTGGCCCTCTACAAGACTCTGGGTTTAGCGGAGGCTTGCGGTCTAGACTTTGCCTCGGCCCTACACCGAGAAGATCTCGGCCGCGTCTACTTTACGCTGGCTTCCAAAGTGTTCCCCTCGTCCTGTCTCAAGGAAGTGGCGCCGAGGACACTCTGCTACCACGGAACGGTGTGTGGCTACCGACGTCCACTGACGGGGGTGGTGTTGGAGCTCTGGTCGGTTCACCGCGGGGAGGCTTCGGAGGCGCTCTTTCGGAAGTACGCGGTGCAGGTGGTGCCCTACGTGCCGCAACTTTTCTCCTTGGACTCGGAAGGTGCTGGTGGTCTGAAGGAGCGGCTCAAGATTCTCTTGGACTCGTTGGGCGGAATCGAGGACGAAGAGTTTGCGAGCAGGTTGCTGGTCGCGTCCTTGCTGCAGTGCGCGGCCATGCGGAACGCAGACGAGGCCTGGGTGGATCCATTCGTCACCGTCGATGCTGCGTGCGAAGACGCTGTTGCGAAAATTGCGAGCCAGCTTCGAGACCGCTACGGACTGACACTGGATGAAGAGGCCCCGCTACCCTACGACTACGTTTGCCACGCCGTAAGGACGTGTTCTACATCCGCGTGTGCGTGGGACACGTTCGAGGGGCGGACCTGGGACAGGTGCATGGAATACAGGGGGGGCTACAAGTTTGCCGCGGTCGGTCGGTACGACGACGGCCCTTGCGTCCTGTACGATTTTTCTTCAATGTATCCCTCCGTGCTCGTACAGTTTCCAGAGATCGACTCTACGCGATTTCGGAGCGTGTCCGAGTATCTTATCAAGTCGGCCTACGAGGTCTTGAAGGAGAACCCGGGTATGAAGAGGATGTTGAAGAAGATGTGCAACTCGGCCATCGGATGCATGGGCAGTTACAAGCACTCGATCGGCAGAATGAAGTGCCTCCAAAACAGGTCGGTCCTGGCCGCAACGTGCCGGCTGTCTAGGACGCTGCTAAAGTGCGTCGCGACGATGGGAGAGCGACTGAAGCATCTCCGAGTCGTGTATACCGACACCGACTCTATTTTGTTTTCCTCTCCCCAGCTCCGAGAGATTGACTGGAACCAACTCTTGACGGAGATAAACACCGAGTGGATTCCGAATCTACTACCGCCCGGAGCCGAGTGCTATCTGAAAATGCGGGTGGACAAGTGCATGCCCCGCGGAGTCTCCGTACTCGAAAAGGGAAAGTATCTCGAACTGTCAAAATAAATTTTTGAGTCTGCATACCAATTCGTCTCTGGTCTTTTCAATATCTAAACGCCCGGTCTGCCCGTTTGTCTGCAACGGAGCGTGAATTCCGTACTCGGGTAGCCCAAATTTTTCCAGACCGTTGACGACCCGCTCTCTATCGATACCGGGTAGGGCGCGGTACTCGTCCAGGCGCCTCTGCAACACGTCCATGAGCTTTTGTGTGGTGCTCAGGTCGACTCTTTCGAGGCCGTCGATGGAATTGCGAACGTAGACGTAGGCATTCACCTCGGGCTTGCAGAAGGCGTTCAGAAAGTCGAAAACGACGCCGGGGACGTCTTTGGTCTCGACGAGGATCTTGCGAACCACGTCCGCCCTCGTGTGGCGCGGATAGCCGGGATGCTCGTAGACGGCGTATCCCGGCGAGATTTTGTTAATCTCTAGCGGAGTGCGCGACAGGTAGTCGAAACAGGCCGCCGCAATCTCCATGTAGTGTGCTCGGATCAATTCCAAAGGGTTCATAAAGTCGTGATCGATCGGGTTGCGGGCGGACGTCACCAGAACGTGCGCCTCTTCGGTGTCGGTCAATCGGCGGCGCTTTTGGTGAGACAGGACGGCCTCTTCGAACAAGAGCCTCTTGACCGATTTCATCCGCTCGACGCGGTACTTGTCGGCCAGGAGAGAGTCGGGTGGGACCGTTCGTTCCATCGCCAGACGATGGGCCTTGTGTAAGATTTCGGCGTACAGCGGAATCACGACCTTGGAATAGTTGCGAGGACACGCGGCGTTGTTAGCGCGAATGTTGTTGTTACGCAGCCAGTTGGAGAAGCGCTGCTCTATGGTGTTTACGTACTGGGACAGAGCGTCCGCCTTGTCGGTTACTGGTGCCACCACTACAACGTTGGCGTCGTCGACCACGAGTCGGTGGCTCGCTCGCCTGTGTAGGTCGGGTGTAAGTGCCAGTGCCGAGCGCGCGAGTTTGGGTAGCCGAGCGAATATCTCCTCGGCGCTCAGATAAAATTCGGAGAGAAACTCTTCCTTGTCGGGGGTACCCCAAGTGGCCGCCTTGGCGACTTTCCACTCTTTCACCAGTTGCGGAGAATGTCTGTAGACGGCCGCGGCTCTGACCACGTCGTCGTCCAGGTCCACCGAACCGTTGTGCAAGACGAGTCGGTAGCCGCAGCGAATCAGGTCTTCCACGTGGCCGCCCTCCGTCTGTAGAGGAACCACTAGGCGCATGACGTTTGGAATCTGGCCGAACGCTTGGGCGACCGCTTCGTACGGACCCGACCCGTGTCTCTCTTTTAGGTCTTCCAGGTAGGCTTCCTTGACGCTAGAAGGAACGAAACCCACTCTGAGCATTACGGGTTTCACCTGACCCGGCGTGCTGCCGTTTAGCGACGCCGGCAAAGACACTCTGTATCCGAGCGGCATGCCGTAAGCCACGGCGCGCGACATGCCCCTGCTCATAAAGGAGCGGCGTATGACGTTTTGAGTACAGGGAACGATCTTCGTGGTGTTTATTCGCAGGAAGGCGGCCACCGACTCGTCCCAGGCCTGGTTGGTGAACAACTCCACGTTGACGCGGTTTAGGTAGTTTGTAAAAGCGTTGCCCATGTGCGTCAAGAACCAATCCTCGTTCTTCAAGTATTGATCCAGCGAATAAAGTTGTACCGGTGGAGCGGACGGTACGGCAGTCGATAGGTCTCTCAGAGTCGTCTCCAACATGTATTTCCTAGTGTTGTCCATCAGGCTCTTTACGGTGCTACACAGTTGCGAGTCCAACTTTATTTTAAGTCCCGTAGTAGAATCTAAAACTAGTTCCACCATTTCGGACGAATCGTAGTTTACGTTCAAGCGTCCCTGTGGAGGGTAGATGCCCCACGTTTCGGGGTGATCGTGCAATAGGCCGGCGGACAGTGCTGCGCATCCGGCCAACTTTACCCAGGGCGACATTGCCGCGCAGTTCGTGTAGCCGTAAGTGTCGGCCGCCGTCAACAACCATTCCAACGTGCTCACAAACGGTAGCGAGTAGAGTTCGTACACTGTCCACAGGTCGTTGAGGTCTTGCAAAGTGTCCGTGGAAAAGTATTTGATCACTAGAGGCTTGATGTCTTCCCTGAGCGCTACTGTTGGTACTTTTTGTGGCGGTGCTGGTACTGGTGGGGTTATCGTAACCTTTGGAGTTATGTTTGGCATATCGAAAATGTTCAAGTCTTTTCCGTACAACTCCTTATAAGCTACTTTGACTTTCCCCCCGAAATCAGCGTACGAATAATAGCCCGTTAATATCAATCTCTCTAACGGTTCGAGTGCAAAGACGCTAGTCTCTACGGTGCCCGTTTGACCCAACTTCAAATCGGGGTTCGTGCTTTTCGAATATTTATCGTACATTGGCATTGTGCCCATTATCCATTCTACATCTTTCTCCGGTACGTGCAATTTCAAATACAACGACTTCTTACCATATATTCTTTTAAAGAGATCTAGTATTGTAGGAAACGACACCTCCGAGCTCGGTCTATTCACGACCACCTCGTCGGATCTATTACATAGATCAATTGTGCTCCTGATAGGAGCCGTTTGGAACTCTTTCACTAGAGCGCGCACGACAGATTTTACAATCTTCGTAATATGGTCGTCGGTATCCTCCTTTGTGATCTTACTTTCGTCTATAGCTTCGCCCGCCCCTATTAAAGAGCTATACCATTCGCTTGCTTTCGTCTCTTTCCGGGAGTACAATAGCTTGGAGAGCAGAACGTAACTGTTTTTACACTTTAGGAAGAGGGGCATGAACGGAGCTCGCTGTCGATTGAAGACTCCCCAGCGCACTCTGTGACGATCCACCGTAAAGACCCTATCGTCGTGCGCGGTAACGAAGGGAGTGTCGTCGTCGTACGAGAGATATTGTCCTTGCATCGGAATGTTTGTGCGACGGGCTGATTTCAGCATTCTCGTGGTCGCGTTTTGTCCGATCGGATAAAACACGGCCGATTTGTTGGTCGCTACGCTCAGAGCGGTGGACGTTCGAGTAAACAGGTGGTTAATGCTACTCGGTTGATAGTTCGAATAACCCAAGTCTATCCAAACCCCAACGCCTCGCGCAAATTCTTCGGCAACGTAGTGTTGTAGCAACAACTTGACCTGACCGTGTTTCTCCAGGTACCTGACTTCGTTCACCGCGTTCACGTACTGACGGACCAAGTCTTTCGTATCTTGCCGCATGGGAAAAGCGCAGTTCCACGCCATTTGACAGTGGTCGTCGAATCGAATGGCCATCTCTTCGGTAAAGTCTCCCTTGGCTAACATTATTAGTTCTGCGCTGGCAAACGTAGGTGGGAAATAGGTTCCCCATTCCTCGGCGCACTTTCGGATCACGCCGCTCATTGCCGGTAGCATCTTGTTCGAGTACGCGGAGAGAGCCGACGCGGCGTATAGACAGTCCACGTCCACGTATCTCACCTCAGAGACGTTCGTGTCTCTTTGCAGCACGTTCGCGGCGAGCGTGAACGTCAAGGGGCGACTGAGCAAATCGGGAGGGGTATCCCTACTTTGTCCCGTAGCTTTCTTGACCATAAATTTAGGAAGCATAAAACTATC